ATGCACACACCTCCCACCCAGGCTGCGCCTCCTACACCCACATGCATCCACAGACGCACGCATCACCCAAAGCGCCACGCCTCCACACAGATGCACACCTCCAGATGCACGTCCTGTCCACGCACCCCCTTGCCATCCACCCCAGGCCTTGTACATCCACACACACACATCCTCCCAGACACACACCTCCCACACAGATACACGCATCCACCAGACACACGCATCCACCCAGACTCACCTCCACCCAGGCCTTGCGCATCACCCAGATACCACGCATCCAGCCAGGCGCACACCTCCACCCCAGATGCACGCATCCACCCAGATGCACACCTCCCACCCAAATACACGCATCCACCAGATGCACACCTCCACCCAGATGCATGCATCACGCACCGCATCCACACAGACACAGGCATCCACCCAGATGCACACCTCCACACAGATGCACACATCCACCCAGGCCCTTACGCATCCACCCAGACGCACACCTCCACACACATGCATCCACCCAGGCGCGCGCATCCACCCAGGCGCATGCATCCACACAGATCACACCTCCCGCAGATGCACGCATCCACAGCACACGCATCCACCCAGACGCGTGCATCCACACACACATCCTCAAGACACACACACACCTCCCACAGAGCTAACATCCACCCAGACACACGCATCCACCCAGACTCACACCTCCACCCAGACGCACGCATCACCCAGACTTTTACGCATCCAGCCAGGCGCACACCTCCACCCAGATGCTGCGCATCCACCCCCAGACACACACCCACACAGGCGCGCATCCACTAGGTGCATCCCCACCCATGCATCCACGGATCACCTCCACAGACGCACACCTCACACAGGCCTTGCGCATCCACACACACATCCACACAGACACACGCATCCCACCCAGGCATGCATCACACACACGCATCCACCCAGATGCACAACTCCACCACGCATCCACCGGGGCCCGCCTCCCCACCAGAGCGCACGCCTCCCACCGGACATACCACACCCGGGCCTTGCGCCTCCACCGGGCGCATGCACTGCACACCGACGCACACCTCCACCCAGACGCACGCCTCCACCCGGACACATGCCTGCACCCGGACGCACGCCTCCACCCGGACGCATGCCTGCACCCGGACGCACGCCTCCACACATGCCTGCACACTAACATGCATAACACATCTGACATGTGCCTATGAGAGGTCAGAATACCTGGATTGCATTCAAATCCTGCCACTGCCTCTTATTCTGTGACCATGAGCAAATGACTTGGCCTCTCTGTGCTTCAGTTTCTCACAAAATGCCTTTCAGATTTTTTTTTTTTTTTTAAGAGACACAGTTTCAATATGTTGGCCAGGCTGGTCTCAAACTCCCGGTCTCAAGCAACCCTCTTCCTTCAGTCTCCCGAAGTGCTGGGATTGCAGGTGTGAGCCACTGCACCTGGCCCCTAGTTTTTCTATTATTTGTTTGTTTTTAGAGACGGGGTCTCACGATGTTGCCCAGGCTGGATTCAAACTCCTGGGCCTAAGCAATCCTGCCTCAGTTTCTTGTTCTGTGTAATGGGAGTTATAACAGAACCTATTTCATAGCGCTGTTATGAAGATTAAATGAGTTAATACCATACTTATAAGCACTTAGAACATGCCTGGCTCATGATAAGTATGACAAGTGTTATGCTTGTTTAATTGTTTAAAATGCATGTGGGCACATGTGTTGACATACACATGCAGACTGCCATGTACATATTGCACAGATATACATATGCACACACTCAGGTGCTGGGGAATCTTCCCTTTTCCTCTTTTAGGGCACATGTCGAACTTTACTATGTGGCAGCCGGGTGAGTAAACCTCAGGGCGAGTGACTGTTCCTATTCTGGAGACACCCAGGACTTCACCAACAGTGTTTCCCCCACCCTTCCATGTCCCACCTGAGTGAAGGTGTTTAGGATGGCAGCCTTGGAGAGGAAGAGAGGTGGAACCCCCTCCCCATGGGCTCCAAGGGACCAGGGAGGGAGGTAGGAGAAAGGGGGCCAAGGACAGGCTCCTGGGCTCAGCCATTTCCTCAAGAAATGCTTTGTTTCTAGTCTCACACAGGGCCCAGAAGAACCAAGTCTGAGCCAAGCAGAGCCCTGTAATCATGAGAGTAATCACCAGACCCCCCACATACCACCTCTTTTCCATGGGAGAATGTGGCCCAGGTGCCAAGTCACTGGCCTACAGCTGTTCTTTGGAGGCAGAGCCAAGGGGCCCAAGGAGGCGGCTGCCTCTGGGGGTGAATGAGTGGCACCTCCCTGGGCGAGACATGTTTGCTGCTCTCGACCGAGGCCAGCAGCGTGGGGGTGGTGGGAGGAGAGGGGAGGGGATGAGGATGATCACATTGACCACATTCTGAAGGTTACCAAGTTCCTGCCACATATCCAGGCTCCTTGTTTCTTCCAGGAGGTGGGATTTCAGACATTCCTAGGGGCTGGTTTCTTCTTAAAGCTGGAACTTCTTACCATGTCAGAAAGGAAATGAGGTTTGTCTGGCTGAGCCGGTCGTGGCAGGCAAGCCTCATTTCTGTCTTTGGCAGTGTCCCCGGGCAGGGAACGTGGTTACTGCCTTTGTCTGGGCTTCATGACCTGTACCCAGGGTGTGAGGCAGAGGAACCCCGGGTGCAGAGGAGGCTGTTAGGAGTGATAGAGTCAATAGACCGGAAACCAGAGGAACGTGGCACCCCAAGGACATTTGCCCTGCAGCGAGATGTGTGCCAGGGTCACCAAGAATAGAGACAGGGCACAATGATGTCACGGTGTATTTGGGGAGAATGAGTGCCAGGTCACCAGGCAGGGAGCCAGGAGGAAGCCATACAATGACCATTATGTCTGGCTGTCTCTGACTCCCCACTTACTGTGTGACTCTGGGCAAGTTGGTTCCCCTCTCTGTGTCTCTGTTTGCTCTTTTGTTTTATGACTTGCTCTCAGAATCCACCCTTGGTCTCCCCATAGTTCTGCCCTTCCTCCAGTAGGAAGTGCCCTGGGGTTGACTTTTCCTCTTGCCCTGAGACTAACCTTCTCTTTCTTCTTGAGGGACATCCATTTATTTCTGGGTCATCATTTGTAAAAACAGCAGAATCACCCCTTCCTGCTCTCCTCTCTCCCTTGCTCCCTCCCAGGGCTTCCTGGAGCATCACGGCGTAAGCTGTTCAAGTTCTACCTGGTGAGGGAGGGCTGGCATGGCGTTGGAGACATCTCCCTCTTCTGCCCAATGCCATCCACGCTCCATTGCTGTCCCTCAGAAGTGCTTCTTTGTCTCCATCCTCCCTCTCACCTGCTCTTCCCTAACCTTCCAAAACTCAGGCTTCCTGATCATCCCCTACCAAGCTCAGCAGGGTCAAGAGTACCCGGGGCCTGAGGGAGAAGCACAGGGATGCGAATGGGGCGGCTGTGCCTCTGCTCAGCTCCCAGGAGTAAGAGATAGGGTTAAGAGGAGCATAGGAGCCACCTCCCTACCCAGGCTCCTTTCAGCTGGGCCATCTGTCCTTTGACAAAGGGATCTAGGATTTCCTGACCTTAAGAAGGCTCCCAGTGGAAATGCAAATAAAAACCACAAAGAGGTACACAGATTTGGATGGTTATTATTTTAAAAACCAGAAACACAAAATAAGTGTTGGCAGAGATATGCAGAAATTGGAATGTTAGCCATTGTTGATTCAGGGTGAAAGAAAAAAAGAAGAAATTGGAATACTCATGCATTGCTGGTAGGAATGTCAAATGGTGCAACCCCTATGGAAAATGGTATGGAAATTCCTCCAAAAATTAAACATGGAATTACCATAGAATCCAACAAGTCCATTTTTATCGATATACCCAAAAGAAATAAAAACAGGAACCTGAACAGATACTATTCAGCACTATGATTCATAGTAGACAAAAGAAAACAACCCACGAGTCCTTTGATGGATGAATAAACAAAAGGTGGTATATACATACAGTGGAATATCAGTCAGCCTTAAAAGGGAAGGAAATTCTGACATGTACTAAAACTCAGATGAACCTTGAAGATATTATGCTAACTGAAATAAGTCAGTCACAAAAGGACAAATATCGTATGATTGCACTTAGACGAGTTAGCTAAAATAGTCAAATTCACAGAGACAGAAGGCAGAATGTTGGTTGTCAGGGGCAGGGGGACGGAGGGGGAATGGGGAGTTATTGTTTAATGAGTACAGAGTTTTAGTTGAGGAAGACGAAAACGTTCTGGAAATGGGTGGTGGTAGTGCAACAATATAAATGTACTTAATGCCACAGAACTTTACATTGGCACTCTGCCCCCAGTAACTGGCTTTTCAGTTGCTACCTGTTCCCATTTAAAAATGGCTAAAATGAGCCGGCATGGTGGCTCACGTCTGTATGTAATCCTAGCACTTTGGGAGGCTGAGGTGGGCGGATCACTTGAGGTTGGGAGTTCGAGATCAGCCTGATCAACATGGAGAAACCCTGTCTCTACTAAAAATACAAAATTAGCCAGGCATGGTGGTGCATGCCTGTAATCCCAGCTACTCGGGAGGCTGAGGCAGGAGAATCGCTTGAACCTGGAAGGCGGAGGTTGTGGTTAGCCAAGATTGGGCCATTTGAAAAAAAAAAAAAGGTTAAAATGTAGAGGCTGGGCACAGTAACTCACGCCAGTAATCCCAGCACTTTGGGAGGCCAAGGTTGGCAGATCTCTTGAGGTCAGGAGTTTGAGACCAGCCTGGCCAACATGGTGAAACCCCGTCTCTACTAAAAATACAAAAATCAGCTGGGTGTGGTGGCCCATGCCTTTAATCCCAGGCACTCGGGAGGCTGAGGCAGGAGAATTGCTTGAACCCAAGAGGTGGAAGTTGCAGTTCATTTACTTAGCACGCCACTGCACTCCAGCCTGGGCAACAGAGTGAGACTGTCTCAAAAGAAAAAGAAAAAAAAAAGGTAAAATGACACATTTTATGTTATGCGTTTTTTCCCACAGTATGAGAAAATAAGAAGGCTCCCTGGGGTGAGGGCTTCGCCTGGTCTCTTCCTCTCTGGAGGTGGCAGAGCATGGTGGTTAGTCCCGGCATCCTCCTGGAGATTTGAGCATGAGACATGCTGGCCATGTGAGCTGTGCCTCCTGAGGACGATTGGCCAGTCCTAGGGACTCAGCCTAGTTGCTGAATCCGGCTGGGGACCCTGCCCCCAGTGACTGGCTTTTCAGCAGCTACCTGCTCTCAAAACAAATGCTGTCCTCCCCTAAGGAGTCCAGGCTGTGGCAAAGCTATGACATAGGTACCACTGTCCTTTTGCCAGGTGGGGCTTAGGTGCAGAAGTTGAAGCCTGGACTCAGTCAAGATCTCAGGACTGAGAGCAAGGAGCCCCTTACTCCCAGGGTGCCCACTTGGTTCCCACTGACTGTTGGTGGAAACTAGGCGCTGAGCTGGAGGCTTTTTAGAGGAAGAAGTGAGAAGCTGGGAGCTGGATTATCCCTGGGGGTGAAAATGGAGTCAGCTAGGTAGGTTATGTCTAGAGGGAGAGGAGGGTCCCCTGGTGTCAGGAAGGAAAGCCTGAGCTCCGTGTTAGACCCTGGATTGGAGGGTGGGCAGGACACTCAGGCGAGACACTGGCAAGGACTTGGTACTGGCGAGGATACTACCACACCCATTCTGGGAGTGGACTATAGAGAAATAAATCTTAAAAGTGGACCTATATTTTGACCTCACAAGTCAGCTTCTAGGAATTCATCCTAAGAAAACAAAGTAACACCCCAAGATGTATGTGCGTCAATGTTTGCCCTGCTGCTGCTTGTAGCCCTGGAAAATGAGAAGCCACCATCAACAGGGGACTGTGCTAAGTAAAACGAAGTACATCCAAACAATCAAGTACTATGCAACCATTGAGAATGATGAAGTGGATCTATATTTATCGATTGGAAAGAGGCCTAAGGAAACAAAGGAAACTACAGAATGGTCTTTCCATATGAGGCAGGGAAATGTATGAATAATTTAGTGCAGAAATTACTCTGTAATTGTTTGTGGGAGCAGATGCATGAGCAAAAATTGACGATGATTTTCCTTCTCTACAGAGCCTGGGGCCAGGCCCCTGTTCTGAGGATCCTCGCCCCCCCACCCCGGGCTGAGGCCTTTGTTCAGAGAGTTGGCCGTGTTCAGAGGGCATGCTGGGTTGTCCTCTGGGAGGAGTTGCATTCCCCACAAGTCCCCCAGCCTTGGAAGGGTGATGCAGGGTTCCTCCCCTGGGGGAATGGTGGAGGCCTGAACCCTGTTCACAGGTGGTGGGATATGGCATGGCTGTAGGAAGGTCTGAGAAGGCAGAAGAGGAGCTCAAGACAGGCTGGGGGAGCTTCTGGCAATTCTCTCAGTTCAGAAAAATAGTTACAACATTTCTTGCCACTCTTTTGTGAGTGCAATTGAACTGTCATGCCTCAAGACACTAAAGAATAGAAAGAATGGAGTAGGAGAGGAACACTGTCCTGGCTCCGGAGGGGCGAGATTCTCCTCTGGTGCCTGATCAGAGCCCTCTGGGGAGCCCAGGAGGACATGAGGGGGACCCCTTTTCTAGTAGATCTTTGACTCCAGAATCTAGGAGCCCTGTTGCAGAGGGAGGCCCTGACATCTGGATTTTGACACAGACCTGAGCCTGGAGCTGTTGGAAACTCATTTCCGGGACAGATGTGGAATGCTGGACAATCAAACGTCGCCGGGGCCTTTGGAGCGCTCCCTGTGTCCCGTTGCAGTGGCCGCAGTGACTTTGGTCTCCCCTAATGACAGAAGCACAGGAGAAAGCCCAGCTCTTAGTTCCCACTCTCCTCCAAGGTGGGCCTGTGGGGCAGGGAGGGCGCAGGGGGACTCGTGAACCCCTCCCCCGTGTTCACCCTCCATGAGCACACTTGGTGCTTTCCCACATACCGTGTGTTGCTCCTTACCATCATCCCAGCATGGGAAACTCAGGCTCAGGGAGCTCACATGACTTGCACAAGGTCACACAGAATTTGGGTCTGACATGGACCTTCTGAGTCCCAGGCCAGGGCTCTGGCCACTGGACCATGACCCAGCTCCTCATCCACACAGTGTGGAAGCAGGGGGATGGAGGCTGTGAGGTGTCTTGCCCCAGCCACGGAAGTTGTGGCCTCAGCAGCACTGCTAAGAGAAGTACAACCGGGATCCAGGGTTGGAGCCAAGAGCACCTTTGGGATGAGATTGTGTTTTGTTTTGTTTTCCCTTTACTGTTTTAGAGGACTTAGGAGCCTAGTAAACTTGACAACGGCAGTTCCGTATACCAGAGGCGTCAGTGTCAGCACCGTCTGGGAGATGTACAGGAATGGTTAACATTCAAATAATCCATGAGGATTCAAGGAGGCCTGAGGCGTGGGGAAGAGGGAGGGAGGCTCCTGGGGGCTGGGGATGCAAGTGGACCTGAAGACACGGGACTTTCTGCCTCTGAAGCATCACTCTGGGCGGCAACAACCAGTTCCTGCTTCATGGGCAACACAGCTTCCTAATCCTCCTGGACCTGCCCTGCCTGGGCCAACACCTGGTGCTCAGGAGGGCTCAGCACAGTGTCTGTCTCAAGACTGTGGGGACCCAGAAGGCCAGGTGGAGACCTAGGATTCCCCAATAAGGCCTAGATGCCTGCTCAGTTCTCCCTTTCTCTTCTGGGCAACTTTCCTCCCTGACTGTACACCGTTTTCCCAAAGGAGGGCAATTGCCACACTGTTCCAAGACCCCCTGTAAGTTCTCAGTCAAAGGCATTTTCCTAAGCGAAGCCAGGGGCTGTGGTTTGTTTTGATGACAAGCTGAATCAGGAGTGCTAAAAAGCAGGCTGTTGGGTTTAACTTCATCAGCTCCAAGCCTCAATGATTTGTGTTTCATGTGGTTTGCTCTGGATAGATGCTGACCTAGTGACAATGAGACTATGGAACAGGGAGAGAAGAATTGCATGCTGAGGACAGGAGAAATCTCCCCCATGAACAATTTGTCTATTGAGCAAGACATCTCAGATGTCAGCTTGGGCCATTCCTACCAGCTTGGAATGCTCTGTGTCTGACTCAGACGCTGTGTGTGTCTCAGGGGCGCTGGGCTTGGTGGCCTCTGTGAGTCTGGCTGGCAGATCTTGGCCCTGCTGGCTCCCAGGGTCTATGGGCACTCTTCCTGTCTTGGGTCTACCCTATCATGCAGGTTCACTGCCCACAACCTCCAGGAGACTGTTCCAAGGGTTTTATTTGTGGGAGACAAGGCCTGCCAGGCCTTTCCCTGGCCTCTCTCCAATCCTGAGGTCAGTACACATCCTAGCATACTGCTGGAAATGCCTCAATTTGGGGGAGTACAATTAGTTGAGGGAACTGAGAAAGTGCTGTACTGGGAGTCTAGGGTTGACTCCTGGATGACCAAGGTCAGAGTGTCAAAGGCGTTTGAACCACAGTGACTCCATCTTGAACTGGGGCTGGGTGAAATAAGGCTGAAACCTACTGGGCTGCATTCCCAGGAGGTTAGGCATTCTTAGTCACAGGATGAGACTGAAGGTTGGCATAGGATACAGATCACAGGCCAGGCGCAGTGGCTCACACCTGTAATCCCAGCACTTTGGGAGGCCAAGGCAGGCGGATCACCAGAGATCAAGAGTTTGTGACCAGTCTGGCCAACATGGTGAAATGCCATCTCTACTAAAAATACAAAAATCAGCCAGGCGTGGTGGTGGGCGCCTGTAATCCCAGCTACTCGGGAGGCTGAGACAGGAGAATCACTTGAACCTGGGAGGCAGAGGTTGCAATGAGCCGAGATCGCGCCACTGCACTCCAGCCTGGACAACAAGAGTGAAACTCCATCTCAAAAAAAAAAAAAAAAAAAAAAAAAAAAAAAAAAAAAAAAGATACAGGTCACAAAGACCCTGCTGATAAAACAGGATGCTGTAAAGAAGCCACCAAAACCTACCAAAACCAAGATGGCAATGAAAGTGACCTCTGGTGTCCTCTCCACTCACTATACGCTAATTATAACGTGTTAGCATGCTAAAAGACACTCCCATTCCCATCAGTGCCATGACAGTTTAAAAATGCCATGGCAATGTCTGGAAGTTACCCTATATGGTCTAAAAAGGGGAGGAACCTTCAGTTCTGAGGGAAATCCCCACCCCTTTCCCAGAAAACTCATGAATAATTCACCTCTTGTTTAGCATATAATCAAGAAATAACTATAATACTCAGTCAAGCAGCCCACACCCTGTTCTGCCAGTGGAGTAGCCATTCTTTTATTCTTTTGCTGTCTTAATAAACTTGCTTTCACTTTACTCCATGGACTTGCCCCAAATTTCTTCTTGCACGAGATCCAAGAACCCTTTCTTGGGGTCTGGATTGGGATCCCTTTCCTGTAACAAGATCATCTCTCTAGTCCCCATCTGGACATGGGTCAGGAGGCTGCGAGGGCCTTTCAAAGCTGCCATTTTGTATTTCTAAGAAAACTCTTCAGCCTGAGTACAGTCACTGCTAGGGTGCTAAGACAGAACTCCCATCCTCCCTCAAGGTCTCAAAGCCAGAAACAAAGGTCTACTTTGTCAATCCAGGAAACTAGAGAAGTGAGGAAGGACGGGCAGCCCCTGCTAGTTCCCAGGGATCCCCCAGGGCATGGCCAAGAGGCCAAAGGGAACTAGGCCTCAGCTGCATGTTTTCCTGGAAGGCTTTACTGCTTTTCCTTCTTCAGCTGGCCTCTACCCCAGACCAAAGCCACAAAAACACAAAGTTCAGCTTAAAAAGTAAAACACAAAATGTGTTCCAAGGGTCTCTGGTGACCTGGCTCTGGTTTCCTCTCAAACCTGGCCTGAGGCTGACCCCAAGGGAACCTCAGAGCATCAGCCTATCACAGCGCCCTGGGGGTATTCAGTCCTGAGTACTTTGGCTGTAAGGCCAGCCCCCTGCTGAAGTCCCCCTTCCCAGAGTCAACCAGAGGGCCACTCTTTTTCAAGGGGACTTGGTGGTCAGGTGCCCGCTGTACTTTACCAGAGAGGAGGGGGACCCAGTAGGAGTTTTAGGGCTATGGGCCAAGGAGACCCTACTAACCTGGAAGGCAGTAATTATCTCCTCCACAGGTATTCACAGCATTTTCTGGGTCACAAAACACCTCCATAACTTGGGAGGCTTGTTGCTAACGACATCTTTGGGAGGTGACATGGTGATTGGCTGAATGTAGAGAGTATGGACTTTAGAGCCAGTTACATTTGGGTTTAAAGTCTTGGCTTCAGGCCGGGCATGATGGCTCATGCCTATAATTCCAGCATTTTGGGAGGTTGAGGCGGGCAGATCACCTGAGGTCAGGAGTTCGAGACCAGCCTGGTCAACATGTTGAAACCATGTCTGTACTAAAAATATAAAAATTAGCCGGGCGTGGACTCTGTCTCAAGACAAACAAAAAAATAAAAATAAAAAATAAAGACAGCTTCACCACATAGCCACTGGGGAACTGTAGGCAGATTGCTTTTTTGTGGACATCCACAATTAACCCAGTACTATTTATTGAAAGCTGTTGTCCTTTCCCCACTGTACTACAATGCCACCTTGGTCATAAAGCAAGTGTCCTTTCCTGTGAGGGTCTGTCGCTGGACTGTATTCTAGTTCATGGATTCATTTATCTATCGTTGTCTCGCTACCACATTGTATCCATTAGTGCACCTTTTTAATGAATGTTGTTCTTTTTTT